AGAAGATGGTATACACACTCGAACCACGATACGCCATACCAACACGCAAACACATGACGGAAGTCGCTGTCCCGAAGCTGTACACAGAGGTAAAGACAGCGGTTTTGGAGTTGTTAAAGTCTGCAATTATTTTAAAATAATAACAGGCACTCTAATGAATTATTTGTGTAATTCTACTTATTACTGAATCGATATCGAAGCATTTAAATCAATATCGAATCGAATTGTGACCTAAAGAATCAAAATCGAATCGTGAGGTTCTTAACAATACCCAGCCCTACTCTGTTTACTGACAGGTCAATATGGAATGCTATAGTTCAAGTTTATAGTGCTGGATCACAGGGCGAACTAATTAAAATGTTAATTTTGAAATTAGTACTACGGCTGTCCCGTAGCACGCAAACTGCAAACTGTTAGTCAATGAGAAAAGTCTTAGTTGACAAACTTTTCATTGGTCGGATAAAAAACGACATCAAACATAAGCTGTGCCTTGTCACTATTACGACTGCTGCAGCACGGACCTTTCTTCGTAACACAGCACTGCTGCATGTGCTAACCGGTGCTAATGAGCTGCTGCCACTTGCTAGTCAACGGTCCCATCAGCTGATTGCACCCGACTGCATGCTCAAAGTACTGGGAGAGGGAGGTTTAATTTGACGGAGTAAGCAGCATAGGCAGAGGCAACGGAGCCGGGCTCAGCAGCCTCCCAGTGGCCACGACAGAGGGACCGAACACAGCCTCTGACACCATCAGAGGCCAGGTGGTTCACAGCGGATCTGACCAGGATTAGACACGGCAAGAGAGAGAGGAGCGAGCTTGTAGCAAGTTAATTTGTAAGTAACCTGTAACATTAACCATCATCCATCGTATCAATAAGTCTGCCAGTATTTGTTTCAGTGAAGTTGGAATATATTAGTTATTAGTTATTAATTCCGTGCTTTGTGTGATGTTATACTGTGTTGAAATGAATTAATTAAAGAACTGCTTGTTCTATCCATTCAGAATCATTACCACTATTTCCGTTTTAATTTAACTGATAAATATATAGATTTAAATAATTAAATTGATATAACGATCAGTTGGCTATTATCAAACAACTATTAGTCGACTAGGAAATGTTTAGTCAGGGACAGCCCTAGTCAGTACACTAAATTCAATTTCAATTCAATTCAATTTTATTTGTATAGCGCCAATTCATTCTAAACACTCCAATAAAGAGTGACAGCCCTACTTGAGAGGAGCAGAAGGAGAACAGAAGAAGAATCAAGCTGTGGCACAAACAAGCCCTTGAAAAGCTTAATGGCAGAGCAGATTGGCCTGTTGTCATTAACAAGCACAGGTGTTAAACTAATGAGCCCTGAAGCTAACAGGCAAGCAACATCAGTGTCAGGTTGGCAGACAGACATTTGACATGATTATTATGTCGTTATTGTCAAGAATACATCGACATGTGGCAGGAGGAACCGGGGATCGAACCAACAACCT